TTTGAGAGGCCATATTTGAGTAAAAACTCATAAGTAAATATCAAAAGTGTCTAAATACTTATTAGAGAAAAATACATTTTATGGTAAGATAAGGCGTGTCAGCTCGAGAGGGCGCGTGACAACCTCACGGAACACAAACAACGCAAAACCACACACTGCACAACAAACAACCGTTAGTTGTGCAGTGTGTGGTCTTGCGTTGTCGTGAAGCAGCAGTGGCCTAGAGCGATTGACCAATCTCGATTGTTTAGCAGCTAGATCTTCCTTCATGGTTTGCAGTTGCCGACAAGAGATATCTTTACGTAGTAGAGCCATGCTGCAGCTATATTACTGGTATAGTGGTAGCACAAATGGGTTGGCTCGACCGGGGAAGGACCACGCTCTCACAGAATACAAGCGTAAAATAGCAGCTTAATGCTGCTGTGTTTCGTATGGTGAGTGTAGAGAACCGGAGACCCTTTTTACTGGAAAAGAGGCATTCCATCTTAGGTGACAACGCATCTGCATTTTGATTCGTAATCGAGGATAGATGCAGATGTCTATGGGCCACAGCAACCACTTACCATCAGGTGGACTGTGTGCTCTTTTGTCACCCTTATCCTATAAAAAAAAATATCTGCCGTAATCGTTTGGCCAGATTTTAGAAAGCTGCAGTGAACGACACCGGCGCTAGTCCACCAAACACTCACAAGTAACTTTTTCTGAGTCAATTTTAGTTTAGGGCAGGATTGGGCTGGGTCTCCAGGGTTTCAACCATTGCGACGAGCGCTTCTGATTATCGTACAGTATCCACTTTTCATCACAAGTAACGATTCGATTTAAAATCCCTTCATTATTGTGTCGGTTGAGCAAAGTAACACAACAGTCGACGCGTATTTGCAAGTTCGATTCACTCAATTCATGAGGTACCCATAAGTTTTTTTACTTTTCCGATTTGCTTCAAGTGGATTAATACAGTTTTATCATTTACCCAGAAGCCTGCAGCTATCTCTGAAGTGCTTTGTGATGGATCCGCATCCACAATAGCCTTCAATTCTCCATTTTCCACCACTTTGGTCTCCGGCCGTCCACGGGGTTGGTTCTGAAGGTCGAAATTTCCAGAACGAAAACGTTGAAACCTAAAACGTGCTGTGCTTTCTTTTGATAGGTTCATTCGTTCAAGAGAAATCGTCGAAAATTTTGAATTTTTATGACCTTCAACCTAATAGGTTTGAAATTAGATTTGCATTTGAAATTAGCGGTAGGGATGGAGGGAGAGAAAGGGAAAAATATATCGATATAATTTGCATGATATAAGGATAAGGCCCAAAATTTAATATTACTAGTCTTTGCGTTAAGGTGGCTACTGACCTGCCTGCCGCAGGGGCAATCTAGGGTGTAGGAGTGGGGATGACCCTTAATTGCCTCCTTAATTGTGATGTGTGTAGGCAAGCAGAGTCAATTTTTTAAGTCGGCCCTGCGACCTCTGATATTGCTCCGATCGCTGTGCTCCCTAGATTGCCACTGCGGCAGGCAAGTCAGTAGCCGCCTTTATAGAATGGTGCGGGAGACAGCTCATGCCTATGAAGTTTCGTATTTTTTTAGATATATTGTCATACAGATATTGTTGTACTTCATGGATGGGCACCGCCCACTTACGAAAGTGATGTGCCACGCTAAACAATGCCATGCCATAACGAACAACAACAGAATATCAAAAATCGGTTTTGAAATAAATCGAATATATAAAAATCACGTAAATATGTATTGGAATTAGAATGAATCGTTCAACAAATTCTGATTTCCGGAAAAAAACTCACATAGATGAATATGCAGTGTTTCCAATGCATGGACGATAAGTTATTCGTTGGTCAGCTCAGGCAAAAGAAAAATATAAAGCAAATTACGCATTGTGTCAAAAATAATTTATCATAACTCATGGCGGCCAAAATGGCTACAAAAAACTTATTTTTTATTATTTCATTAGATTTATAAACCAAATTCTCGTATATTTTTACCTTCCGTCCCGATGTTTGGCCCATTGGACATGGCAAAACCAATACACATACAGCAAACGGCGCTAGCACACGTACCTTTAAAAGCTGCCAGTGCACTCCACGCCGTACTAAAAATTACAAATGCTGGCAGCCATTTTATTTGTTTAAATGTCAATATGAATTTTGCAATCAACATGAAATAGAAGATGATTTTTATTTTCAGTGTTTTGATTTTTTTTAGTGTCTGTTTGCAATATCAAAATAACAGCCTTTTACTAAATACATATGAAAGTATATACGGTATTTATAACAAGAAGACAAAAACAATTTTTAAAATATTTGTCTTACTGCGTGTTTGTTCCGCCTTATAACTGGCACTGACAGATAGCTGATGTTATAAGGAGTAACACTGGAGTAACACTTTTATTTTAGAAAAAAATTAAAACCCATGAAATCCAATCGTAATACCAGTTAATACCAAGCGGGCGAGGTCCGGGAACAGCTATTATGTCATAATTTGTATTAAATTTAAACTTTTTAACAGTGGTAGAGCCACGCGCCAGCTTTTGCTGTCGCACGGATGGGCCGGCTCGAACCGGGGTGGTACCACGACCTCACAGAAAACCAGCGTGAAGTAGAAGGTTTACCTCTGCGTTTCGCTTGGTGAGTGCAGGTGGCCGGAGGCCCTTTTTACTGGAAATGAGGCATTCAACCTTAGTCCTCACGGGTGACAACGCATCTACATTTTGATTTGTAACAGAGGATAGATGTAGATGTCTATGGGCCGCAGCAACCACTTACCATCAGGTGGACTGTGTGCTCGTTTGCCACCCTTATCCTATAAAAAAAAAACTTAATTTTACATGCATTGTAGTTTATAAAGAAATATGTTTCGGTTTTCATTTTTATATGGATAGCTAATCGATAATTTTTGCTTTGCTTTGTTTATCGTTAATCGCCTTTTTTAAATCGATTTAACAATGTTCCATCTCTAGACACGCCAAAAGTGTAAGCTGTTACCCACACCATGCTATAACGCAAAGACTATAACGGTTGAACGACGAAATAAAACGACAACCACACATGAATGCTTTTTTAGCTCCTTTTGTTGTTTCATGTTTTGCCTATTAATAAAAGATTTTATTTGTTTGTATTAATTGATATAATTCGATACTCTAAAACAAAATCGATATATCGTGATTATAACTATCGACGATATATAGCGACATTTTTATAAGAAAATATCAATATGTTTTGCCCAAGCCTAAAAGATTTTATTTGTTTGTATTAATTGATATAATTCGATACTCTAAAACAAAATCGATATATCGTGATTATAACTATCGACGATATATAGCGACATTTTTATAAGAAAATATCGATATGTTTTGCCCAAGCCTAAGTAGCGGGCAGTTGCAGGGATGGCCTGTAGAGTCAACCGTATTTTTTTTATAGAATATGGGTGACAAACGAACACACATTCCACCTGATGGTAAGTAGATGCTGTGGCCCATAGACATCTACATTTATCAAGAATCCTCGATCAAGAATCAAAATGCAGATGCGTTGTCACCCCTGAGGACTAAGATGGAAATGCCTCATTCCCAGTAAAATAAGGTCTCCGGTTCTCTACACTCGCCATACGAAACATTAAGCATTAAACTGCTATTCTGTGAAAGCGTGGTCTTACTCCGGTCGAACCGACCCAGTCGTGCTACAACCATATATAGCTGAAGCGTGGCTCTACAATGTTCGCATGTTTCACCGTAGCAGCCCATTAGATCGATTTTACTAAATGAGTCGTCAATCAATCCATCTTTATCGAAAATGAAGGGGGAAAAAGAGAAATCTATATTATGATTACTGCGTTATTGGGCATTAATAAAAATATTACTAAGTATTTTTCATAATTTCAACTTAGTGTATTGATATTAATTTGCACAATAAAAACAGTGTCATTATTAATGATTATAAATGTTTTGCTATTTTGAGAAAACAATATTTAGCTTGATTACATTAATTATTTTTTTACCTGACTACATTTTATTACGACCCGTAATGATGATGAATAGTAAAAAACGAATACTTGTTAAAAATTATTGTGACATACTTTTTTTTTATCTATACTATTATTGATTTTAGCTTATTATTACACCAATTTGATTGTAAATCTTAGACGAGAGTATTTTTGTTAGATATATTTTAGATTTTTGCTCAAGAAATTATTGTGACAAGATTTTTAAAAACATACGGAATCAAGGATTTTTGACAACCCTGGCACATATTTTCAAGTTTGTATGAAAAATGCCACAAGCGTAAACTTTGCTATTTGCAACACAATTAAAGGAGCAAATCATAACTCAGAGTGTTAAGATTTGCTCCTTTAATTATATTATGACGGAAACTTACCTTCAACCTTAAAGTCAAATCCTATTATTTTCATTATAGAGCCTGATGACAACTGCCACAAAGTGAGGTTAACTTTGCCATTGTCTATTTTTGAGTATTTTGTCTATTTAATGTTAGTATTTGCTTAAATTACTAAATACTAAATCTATGAAGAATATAATATTACATTTAACATTGACGCCCTGTCTGACAGTACATTCTTTGTTGGAAAATTGGTCCTAAACTTTTTAAGTCCTTCCATAAATGGCGAAGTTGCCACGTTTCACGGTACTCTATTTTATAAGTATATCTATCTATGTCGTCCAGCCCAGCCCAAAGTTTATCTTATATAAGTAACCTTCACATTGGTCACCAACAGAGTGGATAATTGAATAAAGAAACGAATAATATGAAGGATGAAATATATTAACATATTCATTCATTTACTTACTATGTATGTTTATAATTTAGTATTTCATTTGATTTTAGGATAGAAACTTAGCCAACAAAATTTTTTTTTACTTACAATGCTGACGGATAAACTACTTTGATTTTAACTACTAAGCTAGCTATCTGCACACCCGTAACATTTATCATTATCTGTGCAAAAAAAATGTAAGCTCTGTGACATGTATCTTACTTAAGTAATGCATTTCTTGAGAGTAGTGCAAGTGGACGATCATTTCCTGGATGTTCTTTATCATGATGAAGGAGTAAACCTCTTCTAGTTACAAATTTTTCAGTACAGAATGTGCAATGGAATGGCTTTTCCCCAGTGTGTTGATACATATGATACTGAAAAAATAAAATCCCATAACTACATTATGTTACAAGAGGCAATAGTTAGAACTTTATAAAGGTTGATTGGTTTTTAAGGTGTTTGCCAGTGATGATATAGGGATCAGTACATGATCATTCACTGCTGGCTGTATGAGCAAACTCAGTAAGCAATGGCAAGGTTATGCTCGGAGTTTCTTGGCTTGATAGACGTTATAACAAGGATATCTGCACTAGTCAGAATAACCGACACAGACAAACAAATCAGTAAGTTAATGTGGCAACGGTGTGGCCTTTAGCTTAAAGAAACCAAGAACCAATGGGGAATAAAGGTTCTCAAGTGGCAGCCCCATACCACTACACATATTAGAGATACTGGAAGTTGATAGATGGAGGCTAAGGACTATGCTAAGTGGCATTTTTTTTTTGGGGGAGCCCTATGGATAATGTTGATGATGATTACAATCAAGAATTTTTTTTATAAAACAAGGGACACAAATGTGCACACAGCCTACCTGATGATAAGTAAATGCAGTGGTCCATATATATATCTTTGTCTATTCTCAATTAAGAATCATTTAGAAAGGTTTTGCAGATGCATTGTCACCCCTGAAGACTAGGATAGAATGCCTCATTACCAGTAGAAGAGCTCGCTATTTCTGTAGACTTAATGCTGGTGTGTTTTATATAGTAATTTTTTATTACTATATAAAATGCAGCAGCATTGAGCTGCTATTTTACACTGGTAATTCTATGAGTGTGTTCCTTTCCCAATCGAGCTGACCCACTCATGCTACAACCATAATAATATAGCTGCAGTGTGGCTCTACCATGTATTTTTATTTCCCTATTTCATACATCAGGTTTCCTATTTCTTCTCACTTCTTATTAGGAAGTTTGTAATATAGTAAATTATACTAAGTTGTGCCGATTTCTTATTCTTGTTTGGCATTAAATTTTAAAAGTTACCACAAAATTTTGAAAGATACATATACCAGGCACAGGCCTACTCTCATTATTGAAAGGATTATGTTGTATAGTCCAATACACTACTCCAGTGTATCATAGCGGACTCCACTTTTTCTCAAAATATATTATTTCTCAGACATACAGATTTCCTCAAGAAATTTTTATTATAGTATATATATATAATAGCATCAAACATATAAACCAGCACTTAAAATTACAATTAAGAATTACTTAAAATACAATATTACAATATAACTACTAACCGTGAAATTATCTCTTTTCATAAAACTGTGTTCACATAACTGGCACTGGTACTTGAAAATCCCATTAACTGCTGTGAGAGAACTTTTAGGTGGAATAACACGTGACTTTAGAGCTGAGTTGTCTCTAGATGGGATTAACTGTGCTTGCTCTTTTCCTTCAACTTGTTTACCTGGATGCATTCGACTTCTGTGTGAATAGCAATTACCAGAACTTGCAAATGACTTATCACAAAAAGGACACTTGTAAGGTTTGGCTCCAGTGTGTTGATTGATATGGAACTGAAAAATTATAAAAATTAATAAAAAAGAGGATATCATAAATTATAAAAGTCTGTGTAATTTTTTGCTAAAAAGATTGTGTGCACATGCTACAATATACTTTCTATGTCAAAAATGACTGTGAATGAAGAAATATTAGATTTAATATATTACAAATACAGTAGAGCATCGATTATCCGAACATCGATCAACCCAACTATTACCACGCTGAGATACGACTACCGCAGCAGCAAGCTGTGAGTTGAGTGAGAATGAAGATTTTTGTACCTGCTGTAAAAGCCCATCAGATAAAGAATGGAAAAAGAGAGAAAACTTTATTGCTGCTTGATAATGCACCAACTCATCCATCATGTGACATCCAAAACGAAAAGAATGAATTTATAAAAGCGATGTTTCTTCCACATAATGTAATCTCTTTATTACAGCCCATGGACCAAGGTGTTATTGAGACTTTCAAGCGACATTACAGAAAAGAATTGCTACATAAGTTGTTGCTAGAAAGAGAAGAGGAGGGAGAAGAAAGTCTTAATAGAAATTATAAAAATATTGATATAACCCTTAACCACTGACGTGTATTTACATACATTAAAACTGACGTACGTCTAACGGACGTACGCTTTTTTAAATTATTCTTTAGACAGAAATTACTTATAGTACGAGGACGGCACTGAAAATTTCGGGAATCAAGGAAGTGACACAACATTACTATTTAAAAATGTATTTATTGCTTTTCGAAGTATTCTCCACGAAATTTGACACATTTTTCCATACGATGGGACCAATCATTGAAGCAACCATTCCATTCGGAAGTTGGGGTCTCCAAAATGGCCGTTTTGTAGGCGTCCACAACTTCTTCATGTGATGAAAATCTCTGTCCACGCAATTTATTCTTTATTTTAGGGAAAGTACAAAAATCATTAGGGCTTAGGTCGGGGCTGTACGGCGGATGGTCTAATAATTCTATGTTTTCTTGCTCTAAAAACTCTTTTGTTCTGTGTGCGGTGTGAGAACTCGCATTGTCGTAATGGAGGATGATGCGGCGGTTGCAGTTCTCTTTACGGAGTTCAGAAACGACCTGTTGAAAACAAATGCTAGCATACCATTCTGCATTAACCGTTCTTTGTCCCTCAAGAGGAATAGTAACATGGCCGGTTTTGGAGATAAACGCGGTCACCATTTTTTTTGCAACACTCCGTGAACGAACAATTTTTGTTGGCTTTAACTCATTTTCGAACACCCAAACTCGTGACTGGTTTCTTGTTTCGGGTTCTTTCGCGTATATCCAGGATTCGTCACCTGATACAATGTTGTATACAGCATTTGAGGATCCTGCGTGGAATCTTTCGAGAGTTCTGACGCACCAAGTAACGCGAGCCGCTTTTTGCTCTTCACAGAGCGAATGCGGTATCCATCAGGAAAACAACTTTTTTACACTTTGTAATTGTTCATGCAAGATTATTTGTATTTGACTCATGCCAATGTCTAAAGTTGCCTGAATTTCGCGGTATGTCACATGTCGATCTTCTTCAATCAGCTTACGCACAGCATCAACGTTTTCTTGGGTGACTGCAGTTTTTGGACGACCTTGACGGGGATCATCACTGAGCTTGACACGTCCACGTTGAAAATGGTTTTGGATGGGGCTTCATCACCAAATGCAGAAATCATCCGGTCAACACACTGTTTTTGTGTTAAACCACTTCGAAAGTCATAATAAATCATCGCTCTTGAATGTTCTCGAGTCAATTCCATTTTCTCAACGACTAAACAAGTTAGACAAAACCTTGTGACAAGACCGAGAATCTTTTTTTAAATAAATAAATGGTATTCGATTTTTAAAACCAAGAAGTTTTCAATTAAAATGATTTTAATATGACAGGAACAGTGGAAATATTCCATTCCCGATACTTTTAGTGCAGCCCTCGTACTATACTCATTTTAATATTTATCGTTACTTTAGCATAAATGGTACCCATCATATTAAAAAAAAGACATTTGTAATTAAAATATTTATTTATATTTCAACTTAAAAAACTCCGAAATAATCAACAAAAACAAAATAAGCCTTATTTCTAAAGGTTCAAAAACTTTATTTACCAGACTAAAATAATCACAGAACTGATAATATCTAAATATCTAGATAATAGTCTTTAATAAAAAAAAAAATAAGTGACACTTTATGAGGAACTTGATATTTTTTAACGACATGTGTTACAAGCTGGTTTTGAACACTGCAAACATAAAGGTTTCTTACAGACATGACATGTGTACGAAGTTTTTCTGTTTTTGTTTGTAACATAAATGACAGTTCTTACGGACGTTGAGGCGATCGTTTTCAGGTTCTTCCTCCGTTCGAGGTGTTGCAGCTGTACCGAGGATGCGAGTGAGGAGCCCTCCAAGTTCCAAAGAAAGTTGTGGAACTATTATGCGCCTTTCGAGATGCCGACGAACTAAACTTTTACCTACGTTTTTCATGAAAATCTATCGGTATTCTTTTCTGTAGTTTGACAAAATAAAAGCATTTACTGCAGCAACATCCACTATTCTGTAAAATATTACCATTGGCCAACGTTTGGTGCGAATGGAGCAAAAATATTTAGCGCATTTTTCATCTAAAGAATCTACGCCGCCTTTTGAAGAATTGTAAAATGAAATTATCTTCGGAATTTCTTTTTGAGTATCCATTGCTTGATCATGATGCATAGTAGACACCATGATTACTGTTTTGTTTCTTTTAGGAACATATGATAGTAAAGTCATATCCTTAGTAAATTCGTACATAGTTGACTTGACAGTGCGATTCTTTTGAAAAAACTCCAGAGGGATTTCTCGTTTGTTTTTTTTTTACAGTACCGACGTAAGTCAGCCCGGCCTTTTTCAGTCATCACAAACGTCAATAGACGAGAAATAGTTATCCGCAGTAGTGTTACGATTGGTATTCGGAATCGGCTTTGATAAACATAGAATACACTGAGACGGTAAAAGCAATTTCTTTTCATTTTGTGAGAGACCCAAGCCATCACTGTTCTTTCCAGTATATAAGTAAGCAATATACAAATATCCTTTTCTTCCGTCAGTCAAACACTTTATTTCTAAATCGTATTTACGCGGTTTATTTGGCATATACTTCTTCCACCGACATCTCCCTCTAAAAGATAGAAGCATTTCGTCAATTGTTGTATTATCACCCAGCCTGTAATATTTTTGACACTTGGAAACAAATTTCTCGAATATTTCGGATACAGCAGCAGCCACATTAGCCAATTTCCTTTCTTCTCTAGTAGAAAAATCATCGAACTGAAGAGCGATTAAAATCATTTGAAATCTTTCCTTGGACATTACTGCTCTAAAAATGTCTCTACCAGTACCATCAGTTGCGAATAAGGCATTCATATCTTCGTCATTCGATTTGAAAGCCGCACTGTATACTAACAAGCCCAAAAAGGCATCAAACTCAATTTCATCTATATCTTTCAATTCTGGTTTGTTTGTCCTTTTATATTTTTGCCTCAATATCTCGAGTCTTTCGTTTGTGTGAAGTATAATTTTGTCTTTTATGTTTTGACTAAGAAACAAACTGAATAAACTTTCTGGTTCACTTTCTGCAGGGACATTCACATTAGCAATTGGTATCACAATGTTATGAGCAGGAGTACGTCGATTTCTAGACGGAGGTTCTGTTGCCCACTTCATACATCTTCGTTTCCCATAATAATATTTTCTTGTGAATTCCTGTGATGTCAAAGGTCCTTCAGTGTCTGACTCAAGGACGGTTTTTTCTATTCGTACATCACAGAGGAGTTCCGCTAAGGGAATATTCTCGTCACTACCCGAGTCTACTTCAGCTTCTTCTGCCTCTGGTGGTAGGATGTCATTTTCATCAGCCGAAGAATCATCAGACTCCGAAATAGTAACGTTTTCCGTAACAAATCTCTCAAAATGTTGACTGTTTACGTTGATTCGAGGCTTTTTAGTTGAAGTCGGGGGTTCAACTTCCAAAGAGCGTTTAGTAGAAGCCATTGTAACTCTAAAACAATTATAAAACCAATAAATTAAAACTTACACTAACACTGATGCTACGTCCCACAGACGTTAGGAAGTGTTTATTTACTTATTCCAGGCGCACTTCACGGCCGCTCACTTCCGCTGCGCGCGCGTCACTAGATCTTAGGAAGGTACAGGAAAGGACAAGTACATTCGCGTACGATGTAAGAAGATATTAATGTTTTAATTACGCGCCTACGTCTCTCGGACGTACATCAGTGGTTGAGGGTTAAAAAATGCATCGTACATGATCGGAGCAGCTTGAGACAGTTTAAAAGAACAAAATTTAAAAAAAGCATGGAATAAAATTTTGAGTATAGCGGAATGTTATCAAAGTGAAAGTGGAAATGAAGAACAGTATCATATGTATGAAATGCTAAATATGCTTCAAGAACTCAATTGCCATGAATGTGATGAAGAAGACGTTCAAGAATGGATGACGACGATGATGTAGACGATGCAGATACAGGGCACCAATTCTTGCAGGATAGCGAAATTGAAGACCTCGTTGTCGTGAGTGACAAAGCTGATGCCGCCAGCACCTCATCAACAAGCGTTTACTTGCTTAGATACTCCCTTGCGATGGTTTGAAGCTCAAGATGAAAGCGACCAGTATCAGATATCAGTTCCGCAAAAAGTGCGTGACAGCTGCGCGTAAGAGGGTAGGTTCGCTTCGACAGACCAAAATTAAGGACTTCTTTTAACTTTAATTTTATTGGCATACTGTATGTTCAATATTGATTACACAAGCTATCTCTACTTCATTTATATTCCTACTTATAACTGTATTTGCTCAGCCACACTATACTCCTTGCGCTGCTCCTAGCTCTGCTCCTCGCGCTACAGCGATGTGTGGCCTGAAAGGGCAACACACTGCTCTCTCACGCAATTAATCGCAATTAGGTCGCTCGCATTTCGCACAATGGTTAATGCAACTGTGGCAGCATGCGCGCTATATGCATATTTAGTATAGCTAATTATATCAATGTCATGAAAAAGAAATATACATCGTCGTTCTCGCCAACGGAGATGGTGGATGACGACATCTATTCATCGATATAGAATAGAACGACGCTTCCGTCACGAGCGCTCGATTCGGACTGCGTTTGCGCGAGTATGTGGCCAGTCACTCGCGCTCATATTGCCAGTCCTTTGATTCGCGCCCAAAAAACCGACAAAACAGGGAGCGATGGGCATGACGAGGAGCGTGACGTGCGGCATTACGAGTATTGTGGCCACACTCCTTTCCTAGCTACTTCCCATGCCATTCGACGTGTGTGGCCGGGGGTAATAAACGAAATTTGTATTACATATAAATATGTTTTATTGGTATATTGGTATATTGGTACATAAAATTATACAGTTTGATTATCCGAATAAATCGGTTTTCCGAACACCCATGTTCCCCAATTAGTTTGCATAATGGACGCTCTACTGTACTATAATAAAAACTAGTCAAGTGCAATCTATACATGTACAATAAGTAAATACATGTACAATTGGTGTTCATACATCTTCAACAAATATAAATTAATGGTTTATATCAATTGAATGCACTTGAATATTTTTGATCCTAATTATTTTGGCTTAATACCTATGTACTTCCTTATTGTTATTGTCAAGTTATGATTTTTATAAACATAACCAACTTTTTAATGTCTACTGCTGGGCAGAGGCCTTTTCATAAATTTTTATAAAGTAGATTTTGCTATACTCACCAAGTGCAAAGTTAATATTTATTTTATTGGTAATGCGGCTTCTAATTGCCTTTCCATGAAGTCTGGGGCATTATTAGATGGAATGGATTACAGATCATTCAATTTCAGTAAGTTGTTCATCAATCAGCAATGTACATTGCGTACAGGGAGGTTGGCATTTAGAGACTTAGCGTAGCTAGCTCTCTATTAAATACCCCTGAGTATGATTTACAGAATGTCTAATACTTTTATGACTTGATGAGCACTTTATAGTATATCAGTAACAGTAATAGTATCAACATTTTATAACTACAATTTTTTTTAAATACTAGTAATGCTATTAAATATTACTAATATTCCCTTTAACCAGTTCTGGTAAGCTTAAAATGCTTGTTAGAAGTGGTTACAACGGTAGTCGAATGGCGGTACGCACCCTGCCATTAGGCTACTGACGCTTCTGAATGTAAATTGGATTACACATGCTTACCTTTAAGTCTTGATTTCTCTTAAAACTCTTTTTACACAAATTACATTTATAAGGTCTTTCATTACTGTGTGTAATACTGTGAGTTTTTAAATTGCTTCTTGTATTATATGATCGTTGACAAATTTTGCATGTGTATGATTTGCTCTTTAACATGTGTCCAGACATGTGAATAGCCAAATTTTTTTCACTCCTGAAACTGCAATTTGATTTATTAAATGTTTTCAAGTGTTTAAATGTTTAAAATCTTACTATATCACAAGATTTCTCTTTCATCCTTATATATATAGTCGCTTTTAATAGAATAGTGCCAATATGTACAGTTTTTTCACATAGTTATATTTATTACATATTTTGATGAATACAAGATTTTTAATTTTGCAGTGCGATGTCAAAGTTTATATGCATAAAGAAAAATAATGTTATTTCAACATATAACAACTTACAAAAATATTTATAATGTAAATCTATATTGATTTTACATTATAAATATATTTTATGATATTTATATTGTTATTGTTATTAAAATTAAGTACTAATGGTACATCTTGGCTCTGCATGGGTTAGAATCATTAATTTTAAAACTTCATGGTTTATCACATTTTTTGCAGTGTTTCTAAGAGTTTAATATAAATTATTTTTCCACATTTCCTGACCTAAAGAGACCAACATATAACTTCCCGTAAGTCAAGTCCAATACATTCATATGTTTAGCCTTGCGATTTGTTCAAGGTGATGGCAAAATAAATTTTTATTGGAAACTGTAATTGCTTAAATTGGACACTCAACAACATTACTTAACACTCAATAACATTATTTGACAGCTTAGCAATGAGTTGGTGCGCTAGGGGCCGCGGGTTCGAATCCCGCACGGAACAAGTATTGTACGGCCAACGGTGTATTTGTATCGCCTACAAATAATTGTTCCGGGTCTGGATGTTTGTCCTTGTGCAATTTGTGTTTGTAAACTGCCTCCACGATACAGGAGAAAATCCTAGTGTGGGGGTAACTTTTTTTTTAAGAATGTACAAAAAACTTAGTCTTGTTCCATTGCATTAATTAGGCAGATTCAGGTTTCGTAAAAAAATAATTGGAACACAAACTTCTTTTAGGCTATAAGGGGAAAGTTCAGAACTATCCTGTCATACCTCTAGGGTTAACGAAATTAAGGAATCCCTGTGAATAAAAAAAATTTATTACGCAGTAAAATGGCTAAATGACCAGTTTACATAGTGGTAAATTGCAATCTATCTTATATACAAATAAATAAAATTGAAGTGTATGTTTGTAATCTTAAATTATTTTAATGCTGTTATCAGCATTTTACTAAATAAATACGAAAGTATATATGGTACTAATAACAAAAAACAATTATAAAATTTTTTGTCTATCTGTCTGTTTGTTCCGGCTAATCTCCAAAACAGCTGGACCGATTTTGAAGGAATTATAACTGGCAGATAGCTGATGTTATAAGGAGAAACTTAGGATAATTTTATTTTAGAAAAATAATAAGGGTTTCGCAAAAAAAAAATTAAAAACCATGAAATCATAGTAAATTTCACACAGTCACTGGGTATGTCTAGTAAATAATACAAATGATTGTCGCTTGAACAGTGGCACCTTAACCCACTATCATTGATATTACTTAAAATAAGGTAATACATTTATTACTTTAAGAACCCATTTCACTAGTTTTATGTTATTATTTGATAAACCATAACATATAAAACATTCTTTGGTAGAGTTACATTTGTGAAATTTTTCATTAAATTTCATCTCAAAAATTACAGTCTGCACTAGGTATTTTTTGTATTTGATAAATCTTTACTAACCCCTTCTAACATAAAAATATTAACCCAATAATCATGGTTGTCTTTTCTAAAACTTTTTAAAAATAAAGCTGAAGTTTTTTTTCTTTTCTAAATCTTTATATTAGCCATATTTTTCAATTTAATTAACAACATACTTTTACAACTACAACTCAATACCCAATGCAATTAAATATATTATAAAGGTACTTACTATCTTCCACATATTTGACACATTCCAGACGTGCGATGTTTTTTAAAATGTGCGATTAAATCACATTTAAAATCAAACCCTTCAAGACAAGTGCTACAATTATACTTCCTGGTGACTTTGTCTTCATTAAAATGGACCCAAGAGTGGTTTTTCAAAGCTAGTTCTGTAAAAAAGCTTCTATTGCATGTTATACAAGGGAATGGTTTTATTATTGGATCCCTCTTATCATTACTAGATTCTGAACTTATTTCTACTTTCTTTATTAATTTGATTGTAACATTTTCACCATCAACACCATTTAAATAAACAACATCCTCTATATTTGATTCTATACTGCCATCAACATTTGGTGAAAGCACGTCATCAGAATTCTGTAAGACCATCATTGGATCTACACTGATTTCCATGGGTGTAACTTTAGAGGAGCTGTCACTGTCAGCAAGAGAATCAGATTCTGTTCCTAGCTCTTTTTTTATGTTTGGTGTAATATCATTTTCTGTGGCAACATGATCTTCTATTATTTGACTATGATTAAGTAATATTTCTTGTGCTTTTTTAACTTTATCTATAAATTCACATACACTTTGTAATTTCGTACAACATTGAATACAAATATTTTTAGGCAATTTGTCATCTTCATCAATCTGTAATAATAATGTAATTAATATGTTGTTAATAATGTTCTTATGTAAAACTATTTATTGCATAAAGAAAAAAAATAGTTTTAATAAAATGTAAAAGACTAGGTACTTCAAAAAACTGAAATTAATGAAATAGGTAACTTCACAAGAGTTGGTACTAATACAGTGATTTGAAGAATTATAACTCTAATTTTAGAATGTGAAATTATTTTAATCATTTCAGTTCTTTGAAATTGTCGTTAAAATCTTATTAAAATCTAATTGTTTAACCTTTTGAGTGGACTAAGAAATATCATAATCTTAAAGTCAACTAAATCTATACAAATAAATAAAATTGGAGTGTCTGTTTGTAATGTTAAAATAACAGTTTTTCACTAAATGCATATGAAAGTATGGTATGTACTATCATATGCATTTAGTGCATTTAGTACAATATGGTACTTATAACAAAAACACAATTTTTTTAATTTTTGTCTGTGTCTGTCTGTTTGTTCCAGCTAATCCCCAAAATGGCTGGACTGATTTTGATGGAACTTTCACTGGCAGACAGCTGATGTTATAAGGAGTAACTTAGACTACTTTTATTTAACAAAAAGAATTAGGATTCCGAATAAAAAAAATAAAAACCTAAATTATATATGGGCAAATTCGCAGGGAACAACTACTAGTTACATAAATTTCATCCCTTATTTTGCCATGGGACTACCCCTGAAATAAAATTTATTTAATAAAACAAGAATGAAAGGTTCAAAATTTTACGAAGATATCATGTGACATACATTAAAAAAAAGGACAAAGAGTCTAATTGTTAACCTCCCCCTTTTGTTGAAGTCTACTAAAACGACAAGATGATATGTATTTCACGAAAAAAGTAAATTATTCTGAGCACATCTTTACACAATAAAATAAGTATAACTAAATCCTAATGTATTTAAATAATATATGGAACAAATATATTACAAAATTTGATATCTATTAATATTTAGGTGGAATAAATGTAGAAATTACCTCAATCAACAAATATTTATTTAGTTTGTTATGTAGTAGCATTGCTTCTGCTTCAGCACTAAATATCATTATTGTCACTTCTTGCTCCTCCGCGCAAAGGCGGCACCATCGTTCAAAGTTCTCTTTCGAGTTAGAATTCATTGCATATATCAATAATTAATCATGTTATGCGAAACATGTATTTTACAAATGCAACTCTCCCTTCTACATTTACGGGAGATTCGCTTAACGATTTTTCTAATTTGTTTTCCATCGTTATTGCGCATGCGCGTAGGGAGATAGCGATGAGATTTGTATACTTCATAGCTTCATACTTCACAGACTACTAAGTAAGCTGAAACTTCCGATCTTGATCTTCCGTATTCCGAAAATGGCTGACCTAATAACTCTTTTTCACCACTATGTTGATCCATCACATTACGAAGTAGAAGTATCTATATATTATGAGCATAAGACGACAACTTGAGCCAGCAGCAGACATTATAAAACTTGAAGGCGCGTGTAGGTTGAAGTTTACATACAATTTACATCACTACCTTTCACTGCCTTCCACCAAACTAACTAGAAACCACTAATAATTTACATCCGTAGACATTTAACTCACAAATTTACGAATCTGAATCCATTTCAAATTCAAAACATTATTTATATGACAGATTATCTAGATATAAATTAAAATTATCGACTCAGAAGCAACACTCTTATCTCCATGTTCCCGCCAAAATTCTTAACCATCCATAGATAACTCTGTCCACGGAGCTTTTTTTTTAATAACTGGCATTACGGCTCTGGGTTCTGGCCCTTCTGAGCCCGAAGTTACAATGTATATTTATCCTTCATAATACACTGCTTCACAATATGTTGATGCGTCACATTGTGCAGCCTTTGGGAGATTTTGACGGCAACTTGAGCTAGCAGACAGTTGACGGTTGGCGATGGTATCTCAAGGTGCCTAAGCAGACAGATACCTTATCTTGAGAATCACATCACATTCAGAGACATTGTTTCACCGTTTCCGTAATAGTTCACATGCGCAGACATTTAATACACAAAATCGCACTACTTTTACATTTCAAAATCCACTTCAAACCATTATTTAAACAATAATTACAGGAGCAGCAATCCGTCGCCGGTCAAATTCCCGCCAAAACTCCTTGTCCACAGAGCAGAGCCACAGACTAGTAAGAGGATACTACGCAAAGACTATAGTAATTGTCCTATGCAGGAAATAATACGTATCTGTCTATTATGTTTTGTTTTCTATACTCTTTGACCGGTTTTGAGAGACATTCATTCTCTAGTTTAAATAAAACCTCTTATACACGGTCCATCTTGCTGTACGACCCGCCAAGGTCATGCACGACGTACGACGCAAAACGGCAATGAATAGGCTTGAAGTATGTCAATCATTATGTAGAACAAGGTCGTCGCATGATCTTGGCGGCACCTATAGCAAGATGGACCGTATATGTGACGTTTAAAATTTAAATATTATACTCAAGATCCATAGACTAGAATATACTTATAGTTCAACATAGTGTGCAAGGTAGAAGAAAATTCCTTATGACAAAAATACAACATAAAAAAGGATACAGATAGGATTTTGAACGACAGATCGGCACAAGTCGGCATGCAAGAAAGAGCTCCTAGATATTATGTAATTTTTTAGTGTAATAGCGGTTATTTTTCGTAACTTTTTTCCAAAATGCTTACTTGTTCTGTAAGTGACTGTGGTGTCAATAATAGAAATAATCCTGATAATTGCACATTTCACAGGTAAATTCTTAAGCCGCCGTCAATGTTATAACGTGTTTATTTTTGGTTAAAATTACTTACTTACTTACTTATCTTCACGCAGTGGAAATGCGATCTCTTCGTAAAATGTGCGGCGTTACCATGGCCGACCGAAAGCGAAACGAAGAGATTCGCAATATGGCAGGTTTGAAAGATGACCTTATCACAAAAATTGATAAAGGCGTGCTTCGGTGGTTTGGGCACGTTGAGCGAATGAGTGAAGACCGAATGGTGAAGAAAATATATAGCGCGAAAGTTAATATTAAAAGGTGTCGAGGTAGAACGAGACTAACTTTCGAAGACCATGTGAGCAAATTGCTCGAAGAGGGTAGGGTCAAGAGTACTCGGATACCTAGACGTACATGTATGAAGAAGATAATGAATCTGAAAGAAGCGACAGAGGTATGTAAGGATCGTGACACTTGGCGATCTGTTCTCTCTGGCTACCCCGTCAGGGATTGGTTAAAATTAATGTTATATATACTGTTTAAAATATAAAATGTTTTCGATTATTTTGTTAATTTTGGTATTTTGCAAAGGAAAAAGTCAAGTTTATGAAATTTGCATTAATTACATTTTTATACAAAATATTTTACATGTTTTCCAGACCATTTCTCACATAATAAACGAGATAAAAACACAAAGTGTGGTTATAGGTTTAGGCTATAAATTGCTTACGCAGGCATTGAAACATAATTCACCACACAATAAATCATTTTTTTTTAAAACGATAGCGAACAACTACTGAAGGGAATGACGAAATCAATTGATGTTTAAGATAAAAAATCCTACTAATGTGTTCAAAGCTGTGGGCTTATATGCTCTCTTTTTCTATCCTGTACACATCGACATAGGGTAGACAGAGTTACATATAGATATTATTGCTTTCTTCTTCATTAAAAAAGCGGGTAAAAAACGTTCCTTTCTTAGACGCTCTCAGTCAACGGAGATATTTTCTTGTCTAAGAAGTAGACGTCCCTAGTTGAAAGGATATAAACTAGTACTCTGGACTAGTTATACCCTACAAAACGTTTGTGGCGATTTGAAGCGTTGCCTTGAGTGTACCGGGAACTATATTTGACATAACTTACAAATGTCCGTTGCTTGGCTAAAAATGTTATAAATGTATTTTAAAGTTTTAAATGATAAAAAGAGTGTGTGTTGTGTAGTTCGGTTATGTTTCATGTTAGTAATATAACAAAAAAGTATTTTTATTACAATGATGATATAAAATTTGATATCAGAAGGGAAGTGTGGTAAATTTCCACAAGTAAGGAGATTTACTGTTTATATTAAAAATTAAAACTTTTTTATTACATAACATATTATATTATATAATATAGTCTCTTAAAAATCTGTTACTTATTAAAATGTACTTACTGATAAGTTTGGCTCTTATTACCTATTTTCGATAAACAATAAAATTCAATTGGGTGGATGACTTCCTAATCGATAATATTTCTCGATGGTTTTTTTCTATAGTATATTTTTTTTTCAACAAACGATAACCGAACCTTTTAACTGCGTTGTTATTGATCCACGTAATCAACATATAGTCCGTTTCGCACAAAAACTGTAGTTACATGCACAATCAGTTGACTCAGCGCAGTGTTGCCACCTTGGTAATTTTGTCGCGAGATTTTTCAGAGCTCTTAGCGATATGTTTTCATCGTTTAGCGACTATTCATTTTTTAGCGATTTTTGGCGATTTTTCAATATGAAATTTGGCAACACAAATTTGAGACGGAAATTCTTTTTCTGGACTTAGTCTATGGTCGAGAAATCCCAGACGCTGTAATTTTATAGTTTCTGACGTTAATGTTTTATCATTCTTTAAAGTGCCGTTGCAGTTGATTAAAGTAGGTAGGAAATTGCACGTGCTTAGTGTAAGAACAGTAAGGAAATTAATTATAAGTGTGTCCATCGTATCGTACGTTCGCACAGCGCACAGTGGTCCCGTTTTGGTGTTTCATACAAGTAGGGTTTTCGTAAAATCAAAGTGTTTGTTTTCCTAATTTTATTTTAGATTCTTATTTGGAAGCCTCTTTTAACATCAAATATTTATCGGTGTACCGATGGAGACGTACAAAAATTAATGACTTATTTTGACAACGTATTGAAAAAATATTCAAACCAGATTTGATCCAATATATGAAAAAACGCTTCGGCGAAAAATCCTACTGGCATGAAACGCCAAAATGGCATGACTGTGCATCGTGGGAGTAAGAATAGTGAAGTTAAGAATATTAAAGCAACTGGAAGAAGAAGAAGGCAGAATGGAACTGCCGGCCAAGAAAAAAAATTGTACCCAAAAGTATAGAAAAGAGTGGAAGGAGCATGATGAATTCAAAAGCTGGCTTAAACATTTATTTACCTGGTGACAAACTGAAATGTTTTTGCGATTATTATTTGCGAAATTAGCAGACTTAAAAAAACACGCAAAAAGAAAAAGCATAAGCAAAAATTACAAGTAATATCCGGATATCCAACAATAACATTTGCAACAGCCGAAAAGTCCTCAAAACCAAAGGCCCGTATAGCTTAAGGAATGCTAACTCTTTATATCACAGAACACAGTTCAGTTTCGAACATTGATTATTTAACTGAGGTAGTTAAATGTGCTTTCTCAGATTCTCAAGCCACAGATGACTTAAAAATGCATCGTACCAAGTGTACAGAAGTTATTAAAAATGGCTTAGCTCCACATTTTATCGAAGAACTAGTCAAGGATATAGGACAGCAGAGATTCAGTCTCATCATTGAGGAATCAACTGACATCGGCAATGACATCTTTTTTGATTTCATACATGTAATACATTAAAAGTACTTAATTTTAATTAAAAAAATAGCGTGAACTGGTGGTGTTTCTTCAATCCAAATTTCCAAAATATGGCGACATTTTACTCTGGATCTAGTGATAAGAAAATTTTCTCTCGACTCTGACTCGGCGACTACCTGCGCGTCGCACGTGTTTTAGTCAGAGAACCAGACAGTATTGTTTGTGCGTGAGTCATGACGGACATGTTTCCTGTAGTTAAGCGTGCTACGCACCCTCTGCAATCTACAGAGAAACAAATTATATACAATTTGTATAATACTGGTGAGTACAGGTGGCCGGAGGCCCAATTCCCCCCCCCCCATCAACATGGTAGCGGAATTACATGATAGACTACCTCAGGAGGGTACCAGTACCCCTGGAGAATCCCTCGCTGAGCATCCACGACCATGTTATTCCGATCCTGAGCGTGGGTGCTCAGGCTGCCCTGCGTATATTCTCGGGGGGGGGGGGGGCAAAATTCCGCTCAAAAACATAACAAACTGAGCAAGAACACTAAGCCGACCCCTGC